CGGATAGCTTGAATGCAGTAAATCAAGAATGAACTTGACAAATACATCACTGAGAACAGTCTTGAGCCAGCTCTCGTGTGTGTGTGTGTGTGTGTGTGTGTGTGTGTGTATTAAATAGAAAGCACAGACAAAAGAGTTGTATAAATGTGTGCAAAAGGTCACACACACAAAAAGCAACAGTATCTTGTATAGTATCAAAAACAGTAGGTTGTGTCATATGAAGCATGTCAGTTTGCCTCCTGTTTCTACAGGAGCAACTGCCAGTACAGTCCTGAAAACCTGGAGCCTCTGTCGTGGTTTGGGGCTGCCAGACAGAATTTAGTGTTGCGCTGTTCATTTTGTCTGCTGTATTTTTCTTTAAGCTCTTAGTGGCAGCTGACTAGCTGGAGACTAAATGGTACTAACTATAAACTGGGATTGGAGCATAACAGAATGCATAAATGTACTGTCAGATATTATCTGTCATGCTGTCCCATCTAGAAAACATCTTATTGGCAACAGCTTCATTCTGTAGTTTGGAAATCATTCATAACCAACGCAGCAAAATCATCGTAGAATAGACTGAAGTCATGGATTAGCCTTCCGAGAACCTGGAATCTCAACATCGAGGAGGTAGTGTGGGATTATATAGACACCGACAGGAACAAAGGAACTGCAGATCATCTACCTCCTTTAAGATGCTTGGAAAAATGTAGACCTGAAGACTATATAAAGGAAGTACAACAAATGGCACTTAAGAGAGTCCGGCCTGTGTTGAAGAATAGAGCTGGCCAGCAGAATTGTACAAACCCTGGTTTTGCCTCATGTACTGTTTTTCCATGTAAATTAGGTGCAGCTATTGATTAAACCTATTTCCCATTTTCCTAGGAAAATATTAAAAAGTGACGATTGACCCAAGACTTTTGTATAGTGCTGTAAATATTTTTTTTGTAAATCATACAATTTTAAATTCTAAATCTTTTCAGTTTTTATTCTTTAAACATTTTAGTGTTTCAGGAGCTCCATACTGGATTTGTTTGGTTGTTTGTTAACAATAATAAATGTTTTTGGATGTCAGAAAAACAACCTACTGTCTTCTGAGTTGACACAAGGACAAAGTCATTAATATAAAAACCATTAATGCCTCTAATGATATCAGTGACACATATTGTGTAGTTTACATTATTGGCTTTAAGAAGACGGGAAAGAGCTTGGGTTTGGAAAAATGGTGTGGGTGGAGTTACAAACACAGTTCGTACGTCATGAATCAGTTACCCTGACCTTCCAATGACACCAGTCTGAAACATTCTGGGGAAGCTGGTTTCTGCTACTGGAAACAAAGGAGTAACTCCAAGAATAACTCAAAATTTCAAGTTAACAAGTAGAAATTTAAGAAAAAGAATTTGACGTTAAGTTAAAATTTCTAGTGAGCATTGCCAGTCTTGAATTCCGTAATTTCCTTGTTACCTAGCACACTAAAAATCGGCTAGTGATAGCATCACAGAGCTACCACTGTGAAAGCTGTTGTGCTGATAGTAACAGCACACAAACCAGCTAGCAACACGAGGACTTC